AAAAAAAAAAAAAGAAAAATTCCAAGTTCCACAAATATAACTAAGAATGGCATCTCAGACCTAACCTCAGCCTTAGAGAGCCAGGAAGGAAAATTTTATATTCCCTAAATATGAAGTGAGGAAAATAATGGTACCTACCTTGTAGGATTGTTGTGAGGATTAAATGGTTGATGTTGACAGGGGCTTGGATCAGTTCTGGGCACATGTAAAGCACTTAATGTATTTTAGCTCTTCTAGCCTAACCAAGAAAATGCGTAATAATTTATACTTTCCAGAAGACAGAAAGATCAACTAAAATATGAATACTAAGGTAATACATTAATAAGATTACCAATTAGAAAGCAAGGCATGGCCCAGGATGGTGGCTCATACTGGTAATCCCAGTACTCTGGGAGGCCAAGGCAGGTGGATTGCCTGAGTTGATGGGTTCAGGACCAGCCTGAGCCAGAGTGAGACCCGTCTCAAATATAGCCAGGCAATGTGGTGGGTGCCTGTAGTCCCAGCTATTTGGGAGGCTGAGGCAAGAGAATTGCCTAAGCCCAAGAGCTAGAGGTTGCTGTGAGCTGGGACGTCACAGCACTCTACCGAGGGAGACAAAATGAGACTCTGTCTCTAAAAAAAAAAAAAAGCTGGGCACAGTGGCTCACAGTGGTCCTAGCTCCTAGCATGCTGGGAGGCGGAGGCAGGTGGATCACCTGAGCTCACAGGTTTGACACCGGCCTGAGCAAGAGCAAGACCCCATCTCTAAATATAGCTGGGAATTGTGGTGGGTGCCTGTAGTCTCAGCTACTTGGGAGGCTGAAATAAGAGAATTGCTTAAGCCCAGGAGTTTGAGGTTGCTGTGAGCTATGACACCACAGCACTCTACCAAGGGTGACAGAGTGAAATTGTCTCAAAAATAAGAAAGAAAAGAAAATAAAAAAGATTACCTATTAGAATTACAGTTTTAAATATCAACATTTAATTTTTTTATTTTTTTGAGACAGAGCCTCAAGCTATCACCCCGGGTAGAGTGCCATGGCTTCACTGCTCACAGCAACCTCCAACTCCTGGGCTTAAGCGAGTCTCCTGCCTCCACCTCCCAAGTAGCTG